CTCAAAACAAAATCAACCAATCAACCCCTAAATTCACTCTACATCCTTTTTGTTTCTCCTTTTTTTCCCTGAAGGTGAACGTCTCCCTGAAAATCAGTACTCCTTTAAGTTGAACTATTTTTTTTTTTTTTGACACAAGGTGTCTGTCACCAAGGCTGGAATGCAGTGGTGCAATGTCAGCTCACTGCAACCTCCGTCTCCTGGGCTGAAATGATCCTCCCACTTCAGCCTCCCAAGTGGCTGGGACTATTCCCAGCTAATTTTAGTATTTTTAGTACAGACAGGGGTGTCAAGATGTTGCCCAGGCTGGTCTCGAACTCCTGAGCTCAAGCAATCCCCCCGCCTCAGCCTCCCAAAGTGCCAGGATTGCAGGTGTGAGTTCTTTATAGCAGTGTGAAAATGGACTAATAACAAGGTATTTATGGACCTTAAGGGTAATTTTGACCACATTTGTTACACAGGCCATGGTAAATGATTACATTTGTAGACATTTTGGTGCCTTGATGTTAGCAAGGGTTGCACAGTAACTTTTCACACACATTCATTCTGGAGATGTATAAAAAGTTCTAATTACTTATATTAAATACATTTTTGGTAACAAAGCCTAGTACCAGATGCTGGCTTTAGATAATAGGGCAGTCTAATGACTTCTGACTTCCTCAGATAAGGAGTTTTGCCTCTGGATGGTCTGCTTGATGGCCACCAGGTGATTTTTGCTGTCCTCAAAACTATGTGAAAATACCTCAATTAAACATAATTGTTTATTATCCACAAAGAAATATAGTGAAATGGAACCAGCTTGAGCCTGGGCAAAGATCCAGGGCACTAGATTTGCTTCCCGAGCTTCCCTGGGTTTGCTCTCTAAATTGTACCTCGTTAGCCCAAATAATTACCCAGGACTAGGGGGAAATGAGGGTGGCAGTGAAGTGTAGCGATGATGCCAATACCCACATCAGTCAATACGGCGTTTCTTCAAGAGGCTTGCTCGTTGTTCAGCCCCAGGAGAAGATACAAAATAAACATGATACTCTCCTATGCCTTAGGAATGAGGACAAAGGCTGTGATGGGAGAGGTGGTGTGTTCTTACAAGTTCTTTAAGACTCAGAATGATGAAAATGCCGTAAGTAGCCTATAATTTTTCATGGCATTTGATTTTGTTTTACTCCAGTTAAAAAATAAAAAAATTACATGAAAATTTATCTAGTCACAGTAAAATTAAATACCATTTTATTGAATATTTGTTTTTGAGTAAGACTTATTAACAATTCCAAATATTACAGAGTTCATGAAAAGATATCTATTTAAACTTTTAGAAAACATTTGTGGAATGTCTGCCATGTACCAGATGGGGGGGAGTTCCTGTTAACTCTCCCCTCATGGCTCTCAGTGTTTCTCACTCCCTTCTTAGGTTGAAATTAAGATTTAAGAGTCTTTCTGTCAGATTTTTAGAAATTAATTTATTAGCAAATTACATTGAAAACATTCTCTTCCGGATGTATGTAAATCCAGTGTTTTGATCCTAGTGAGGCGTACAGAATGCTATTATTGTGACATTTAAGTATCATAACATAATGTAGCTAATAAAGCTTTTAAAACATTATGGTAAAGCGTATGTGAAATTTACCATTAGTGACATTGAGTACCTTCACCATGTTGTGCAATCATCCCCAATAAGTAATTCCAGAACGTTTTCATCACCCTAGACGGAAACTCCTTTTTAGCAATCACTCCCCACTCCTCCTTTCTCTCAGCCTCTTGCAACCATTTATCTGCTTTCTGTCTCCATGGATTTGCCTATTTTGGATATTCATATAAATGCACTCACGTGATACATTGCCTTTTGTGTCTGCCTTCTTTCACTTGGCAAAATGTGCTCAAGGCTCATCCATGTTTTAGCATGTATCAGTACCTCATTTCTCTTTATGGCTCAATATTCTATTGTGCCATGTGTAGATACCACAGTTTGTTTATTCATTCATCAGATGATGGCCATTTGGGTTGTTTCCACTTTTTTGGCTACTGTGACTAGTGCTGCGAAGCATGTTTGTGTGAAAGTTTTTGCTTGAACACCTGTTTCAGTTCTTTTCAGTATATGTCCAGGACTGGACTTGCTGGGTCATATGGTAATTCTTTAACTTATTGAGGAACTGCCAAACTGTTTTCCACAGTGGCTACACCATTTAACATTCCCACCAATAATGAATGAAGGTTTTCAATTTCTCCACATCCTCTCTAACCCTTATTTTCTCTATTATTTATTTTTTACCTATAGGTTTAGATCCTAGGTCTATTTTCTTTTTTAAAAGTTATCGTCACTCTAATAGGTGTGAAGTGGTATCTTCCTGTGGTGTTGATCTGCATAATGACTGATGACATTAAGCATCTTTCCATGTGCTTGTCGGCAATTTGTATATCTTCATTAGAGAAATGTCTATTTAAGTTCTTTGCCCCTTTAAAATTGGGTTGTCTTTTTGTTGAGCATAGGAGTTCCTTATATATTCTAGATACTAGTTCCTTAGCAGATATTTAAGATTTACAAAGATTTTTTTCCCATTCTGTGGGTTGTCTTTTCACTTTCTTCATAGTGTCCCTTAATATATAGAAGCTTTTAATTTTGACAAAGCCCAATTTTTTTTTTTTTTTTTTTTTTGCTGTTGTTGCTTGTGCTTTTCGTGCCATATCTAAGAAATCATGGCCAAATCCAAGGTCATGAAGACTTATTCCTATATTTTCTTCTCAAAGTTTTATGGTTTTAGCTCTTACATTTAGGTCTTTGATCTATTTTGAATTAATTTTTATATATGGTATGAAGTACGGGTACAACTTCATTCTTTTGCATGTGAATATTCACTTGTCTTAGCACTATTAGTTGAAGACACTGTTCTTTCTTCATTGAGTGGTCTTGGAACCCTTGTCAAAAAAATCAATTGACCATAGTGTATTGACGTAATTTATTTCTGGACTTTCCATTCTACTCTATTGCTTTATATATTTTTATACCAGCACAACACTGTTTTGATTGAAGTAGCTTTGCAGTAAATTTTGAAACTGGAAAACGCGAGTCCTTCACCTTTATTCTTGTTCAAGATTGTTTTGAACAAACTTGAGTGCCTTCAGTAACTTGCAATCCTGTAAAAATTTTAGGGTCAGCTTTTCTGTTTCTGTAAAAGGGTCACTGGAATTTTAATGGGGATTTTATTAAATCTATAGACTAATTTTGGGAGTAATGCCATCTTAACAATGTTGAGTCTTCCAACCTGCCAGCACAGATATCTTCCATTTATTTAGGTCTTTAATTTCTTTCAGCAACGTTTTGTACTTTTCAGTGTCCCAAGTCTTGCACTTTCTTGGTCAAATTTATTCGTATTTTATTCTTTTTCATGTTATTATAAATGGTTTTAATTTTCTCTCAGGTTTTTCTTAGACTTTTGTGTGTTGATCTTGCAACCTGCAACATTGCTGAATTTTTAAAATCAGCTGGAATCATTGTGTGGATTCTTTAGGATTTTTAGTACATAGGACCATATTTTCTGCAAATGTAGTTTTACTTCTTCCTATTTGGGATTCATTTTATTTCTTTTTCTTGCCTAATTGCTCTGGCTAGACCTTCTAGTATAATGCTGAATAGCAGTGGGGAAACCAGGAATTTTCATGATATTAGGGGAAAAATTTTCAATGTTTTGCTATTATGTTGTTAGCTGTGGGTTTTTATGAATGTCTTTATCAGATTAAGAAAGTTCCCTTTTCTTCCTAGTTTGCAGAGTGTTTTTACCATGAAAGAGTGTTGGATTTTGTCAGATGCTTTTTCTTATCAATTGAGGTGATTATGCTGTTTTTTCCCTTCATTCTATTAATATGGTATATTACATCGATTGACATTTGTGTGTGGAACCATGTTCCCTGCACTTCTTTGATAAATCTTGCTTGGTCATGCTGTATGATCATTTTAATAAGCTACTAGATTTGGCCTGCTAGTATTTTGAAGTTTTTTTGCATCTATATTCATGAGGGATATTGGTCTGTAGTTTCCCTGTGAGGTCTTTGGCTTTGGTGTTAAGGTAATGCTGGCCTTGGAGAATGGGTCACAGGGTGCTCCTTTCTATTCCATTGTTTGGAAGAGTTCGAGAAGGATTAGTGTTAATTCTTCTTCATATGTTTGGCATAGTTTGCCAGTAAACTCATTTAGTCCTGGACTTTCTTTGCTGGGAGATTTTTGAGTAGTAGTTCAATCTCTCTACTTGTTATAGGGCTGTTCGGAATTTTTATTTCCTTTTGAGCCTGTTTTGTCAATTCGTGTGTTTTTTAATCTAGGTCATCTAAATTGTTGGCAACAATGCTTGTTTTTATGAATAAATTTGTTTATAGTTAAGTTGCCTGAAATACCATGCAATTCATCTAATATGTATAAAACTTGAAATATATTATATTGCATCTACTTTTCTAAAGCAAAATCTGTAAAATTCCATAAGAGATTTAAACAATTAAAATAAATAATTCCTCACATAAAATGAAATTTTTTTTTTTTTTTTTGAGACGGAGTCTTGCTCTGTTGCCCAGGCTGGATGGAGTGCAGTGGCGCGGTCTCGGGGTCTCGGCTCATCACAAGCTCCGCCTCCCGGGTTCATGTTTTTTTTTTTTTTTTTTTTTTTTTTTTTAAGTAGAGACAGGGTTTCACCGTGTTGGCCAGGACGGTCTCGATCTCCTGACTTCATGATCCACCTGCCTCGGCCTCCCAAAGTGCTGGGATTACAGGCGTTAGCCACTGCGTCCAGCCGAAATCTTTCTTTTTCTCCCTAGTGGTAGGAATAGTAAGAGTGAAGACTGCTGAGTGAGATGGCCTTTGTATGAATCCCTGCTCTGCCACTTACTTGTGGTATATAACCTTGGGGCTAACTTCTCTGTACCCCAATCTCCTTAGCTATAAAAAGGTAATAGAACTACCTCATAAGGTTGTTGTGAGGATTAAGTGCATTGATGCATACAAAAACTTTGATTCTTAGTTCACAATAAACAATATTAGCAAATATTATTTTCCATAAGGTGGTTACTAATTGGGGTTAAAATAAAAAGCATCTTAGACATCTCAATGACTTATATCTTGTAGGATTTATCACAAAATGCTACTGCCCAGTGCATTTTTGCAAACAATAACAATTCACTGAGAGTAATAACATTCACATATGTAATTAGAGTTTACAAATGTAAAAAACTTAGGGTAACAAACACTTTAAACTTAGTTTTTAGACATTCAATAAGCCCATTCCCCCACAAACTTTGATTACAAAGAAGCACAATGGGTTAACTGTGGCAAAATATAAGAAATAAGGCAGGGGAGGCAGATACGGACTTGAGAACATAAGGATATCCAAACAATTTTGTCAATATCAAAAGACAAAATCAAAGCATCTTTTATAATATAAAACAAATCCATATAATTAAATACTAATTAGGTGAAAGAACATTATAGGGTATATAACATTTATTTTCTCTACATAAATTTGCATATCTTAAATTTAATGCAAAACATCATGTTTCAACTTCCACTTAACATCATAACATGTAGTTCTTGGTGAGTCTAGATGTAATGGAATGAATATTTAAATAGACTTCAAAGATCCTATCAAGTTTTTATTTGGTTATTGTTGCTTTAAGTCCTTAATGCTTTTCTTTATTTATTGGACTAAGCCAATTTTAGAAACAAAATCCACAACCAACACACATATAATGCAGATGTTTCTGAAAAAACTAAATAGTGTTATCTTTAGTGTATCATTAAAATAGTGGTTGTGGTTAAACAAGCAAACAAATTACTGCAACTCATGTATGATAAGCTTACAAAAAGTAGCATTTTAAAGTTTCATCTGGTGTGTCTGCACTGTAGGAAAATAAATCTGGATGTGAGTAAGATGTGCTTGACTGAATTAAGTGAAACCCCCAGTTAGCACTGGGTTATGTTCCAGGGCAGTGCATTTGTCCTCACATATTACATCAGGAATGTGTGTTCACAATCCACCAGCTGCATGTTTTAATTTACTAAGAAATGAAAGGAATTAATCCTGGTCCATCCACTGCTTCCTCCTTTGTTTTACTATCTTCACTTTGAGATCAGGCACTTTGTGCCCAGGATTGTGACAATGCACGTTTACTAAAAATGTATCCATTGATAGAATAATTATACTAAATTAATAAAGGAAGACGGTGTCTTCATGTAGAAAACAGAGCACTAAATTATAATTTTACAGTCACAACACAAGCTCCAGCTCTTCCTAGGCAAAGTGGAGCAACCTGAAAAAGAAAAAGAGATATGTATTGGATTTGTAGGTTAAAATGTTGACTCTACTATACCAGTTGGTGAAATATTGAAGCAGCCTGTACTTGTTGGCAAAGGGTTGCCGCCCTGGCCCCTGCTGTATCAGTGCTGTTTCTGGCCTGGTCCTCTTCCCAAGAACCACTCTCCATGGCAAAGCTTCACAGACTAAGTTGTTCTGGGTATATCATGATTGTGTAGCATTCACTCTTCTTTAAAGGTGATTTTTAAAAACAGCTCAAGAATTAATCTACATGAAACACTCTATTTTAGCCAAAATGATGCACAGTATGGATATGAAGAAATGCTGAACACTTACAGTAACACTGTGACCAATATGGAGGAAAGATCAAGTTTTATCTAGAGAGGTCCTCTAACAGCCATGCTATCTCAGAGATAGCACACAAAATACTCTGAATGCCTGGGGATCTGCTTATTCTAGAAGAACTCGTAACCTCACATTTTTTGACTACCTTCTATGTGCACGGCTGAAAAGTCTAAACCCATTCTACTACTTTTTAGCAGACTAAATAAATAATAAATGCTACCCATCCAACTCCCCTAGAAGTGGAAACAAACTCAGTGAATGAGCTCTGTTACAGTGAGAGAGAAGTCGGGGGAGGGTTGCTAGGAAGGAATACAATCTAAATTTATGGATAAAGAACAATTCTTAAATCTTTCACCTCTTTTTTAAACAATAGGAACTCTAGACACTGGGTAATTTATAGTGGAAATAAAAGTGTGAACAAAAATAGTTTTTGAAGAATTACTCTGAACGCAGTAAGAATCTATGCATTTGACCCAGGAGAGTTAAAATGTTAACATGGATTGGGGGGGTGAGTAATGAAAAGTACTAGGAAGGTTTGCTTTGTACTTATATATGTTAGGGTATATACTAAAGTATTTTTGTCAAATGCCAAAATGACTTCCTAATCAGTTTGACCCCACAGACCAATGAGTAGATTTTAAGAACAGGTCAGATTTCAGTTATAAGAGAATACTTGGCAGTTCTCCATCTGAATCAGTTGTTTTGATCACTGTAAGTCTCTTGGAACAATCAAATAACCTATTTTAAAACCATATCTATTTATAGCATTATCAAACTGACCTCAAAATTCATTTATATCAAAATGTCAGTTTATAATTAGTAGCTCTTCTCAAATCACCCAAGACATTTAGTCTCTACACTGTGAATAGATGACACTGTCATGACAACCAGCTAGAAAGTGTAGCTTAGAGAATTTGTATACAATACAATCACAATCAATCAATCAATCAATACAATCAATCAATACAATACAATCACCTCTTGCTTTGAGGTAAGGCTGGTAGTGAGGGGGTAGTGGCTTAGGACTTTGTTATCTTGTTTTATTGCCTATACAAATGTCCATCTGTCAGAACACTGAAAGGAAAACTTCAAAATTTTTTTGTTTATTTGGCTTGTTTTTGAGACGGAGTCTTGCTCTGTCATCCAGGCTGGAGTGCAATGGTGCCATCTCAGCTCACTGCAACCTCCACCTCCCGGGTTCAAGCAATTCTCGTCCCGCAGCCTCCTGAGTAGCTGAGACTACTGGCACACGCCACCATACCTGGCTAATTTTTTGTATTTTAGTAGAGACAGGGTTTTACTATGTTGCCCAGGCTGGTCTCAAACTCCTGAGCTCAGGCAAACCGTCCGCTTCGGCCTCCCAAAGTGCTGGGATTACAGGGGTGAGCCACCATGCCTGAAAACTTACATTTTTCAGATACTATGAAAATGAGTTCACATTTTTAGGTGTTTTAACATAGTAATAGAGGTGGCTTACAAGAAAAATAACTATGTGGACACTGATGATAAATTTTGATATGGGATTATTTAGCATAAAGTATTAATTATAAATAATAACAAGTCTCAAATAACTGGCTGATAGGGCTTAAATCATATATATAACTGGACTTAGGGCTTAAATACATGTCAGAAAAAGATTCTTATCTTTTTGAGCTCCTTGGGTGTCATTCACAACTGTTTTTGCCATAGTGGGAAGCTGATACTAGGTAATCATCTAATTTCCAATGAAATCTTGTAGCTCTCAATCTTATCCCTTCCTCCCTCCATCAAGTGATCTCACTTAAGAAACAGAATAAAGCCCACACAATCTAAGTCCTTTTTATCTATCTTTTTCTTCCCACTACACTCAAATTCTTATCTTTTCCCAAGCTTGGAGGGTAAGATCTTTCTTCTAGTCTGAGGGTGACCAGTCTGCTTTTTTTTTTTGCAAGGGAGTTTTTGCTCTCGTCGCCCAGGCTGGAGTGCAATGGTGTGATCTTGGCTTACTGCAACTTCCACCTCCCAGGTTCAAGCGATTCTCCTGCCTCAGCCTCCCAAGAAGCTGGGATTACAGGTGCACATCACCACACCCAGCTAATTTTTGTATTTTTAGCAGAGATGGGGTTTCACTATGTTGGCCAAGCTGGTCTTGAACTCCTGACCTCAGGTGACCCACCCGCCTTGGCCTCCTAAAGTCCTGGGATTACAGGCATGAGCCACTGCGCCTGCCCCCCAGTCTTTGCTCCTAGTTCTGTTTCCTGCCCTTTTCTCAGAAAGGTGCCCTTCAAGTTTTGCTTTCTTTCTTTCTAGTATCTAGAATCTTTCTCTACCTTCTTGTCATCTCTATTGTGGAAAAAAAAATCCTTGGCTCAAATTCTAACTCTACCATTTATTTGCTATGTGGCCTTGGGTTAGCTGTTTAACCTTTGTGTCATATTCCTCATCCTGTACAGTGGGAAAATACCAGAACCCAACCTTATAGGGTTGTTGAAGATTAAATTCTTTACAGTGCTTAGAACAGAGCCTGGTCTGTAAGATGTGCTGAATAAATATTCACTTTCTATCATCATCATTTAAAAACTGCATGCCTCTCTAGCTCCTACACCCTATTCTTCTGTTTACTTTTTTTTTTTTTTTTTTTTAGACAGAGTCTCGCTCTGTCACCCAGGCTGGAGTACAGTGGCATGATCTTGGCTCACTGCAACCTCCACCTCCTGAGTTCAACTGATTCTTGTGCCTCAGCCTTGTGCCTCAGCTGGGACTACAGGAGCACTAATTTTTGTATTTTTAGTAGAGACGGGGTTTCACCATGTCGGCCAGGCTGGTCTTGAACTCCGGGCCTCAAAAGATCCGCCCACCTCGGCCTCCCAAGGTGTTGGGATTACAGGTGTGAGCCACTGTGTGCCTGGCCTCTTCTGTTTACTTTGAAACTGTGTACTGGCTTCTGCTTCTATCAGATTCTCAGAGAATCCCATAACTTTACAAATGACAAATCTTCATTCTTTCTTATACTGTTGAAACTCCTACTCCTCCCTTTAGATGCTCTATTCCATTGTCTTCTGAGAACTTCTCTCCTCATTCCTTTTCTGTTTTCTTCAGAGACCACACCTCCCAATTCAACCCAGCAAGTGTGTGTATATAAAGAAAGATCAACAAGACTTGGCAATATCTCTTGAATCCATCTACATTGAATGCTTCAAGCCTTGCAACTGAAGCAATCCTCTAAATATTTTTCCTTTTATCCAGCCCTCACTTCCCCTGCCCCTAACCCAACCTACGTGACCCCAACTGCATCATTCACTTGGTTGAAAGTTTCTGCTGGCTTCTTGTTAACAAACTCTTTAGCTTGGCCTTCACACATCCCCATTCTTTAAAAAAAATTATTATTAAATGATTATTTATTTTTAAGAGACAGAGTCTTGCTCTGTTGTCCAGGCTGGAGTGCAGCGTCATGATCATGGTTCACTTCAGCCTCAACTCCTGGGCTCATGCGATCCTCCGCCTCAGCCTCCCAAGGTAGATGGGACTACAGGTACGTGCCACCACACCTTGCTAATTTTTCAAAATTTTTTGGGCTGGGCATGGTGGCTCATGCCTGTAATCCCAGCACTTTGAGAGGCCGAAGCAGGTGGATCACGAGGTCAGGAGTTTGAGACCAGCCTGGCCAACATGACAAAACCCTGTCTCTACTAAAAATACAAAAATTAGCCGGGTGTGGTGGTGGGCACCTATAATCCCAGCTACTCGGGAGGCTGAGGCAGGAGAATCACTTGAACACGGGAGGTGGAGGTTACAGTGAGCTGAGATCGTGCCATTACACTCCAGCCTGGGCGACAAGAGCAAGACTCCATCTGAAAAACCAAACAAAACAAGACAAAAAACCCACAAATTTTTGTAGAGATAGCATCTCACTTTGTCACCCATGCTGGTTTGGAATTCCTGGCCTCAAGTGATCCTCCCACCTTGGTCTCACAGATCTCCATTCTGACCCCAATCTTCCTCTCCAGTAAGCACTCCTCCTCCTCTCAAGCATAGATCCTTATAACCAGTCATACTTCAATATGTCTTACGTAATTCTGCTTTGGTGACATTTCTTTCACATTTTCTCACAGTTTCTTCTTTCCAATCCTTTTGAATTGGATCAATTCACTAAGGCTTAGTTTAAATCCCACTTCTTTCTCACTAAAGCTTTCCCCATAACCACTTTCTTTTTTCTCTTATCTCCTGTATCACTTGGCGCCTGTACCACGGGACACTAAATACCCACTGCCTTGTGTGGTGCATTCTCCCCTTGCACATGTAGATCTTACCTACCCAAGACCTTAGGTTACATGACCGTGGGGCTTCACAGAAACTTTGTTTTCTTGACAATACTTACCATTGCTCCTTGTATACAATACAATCTTGGCTCAGCTAAACATTTATTGTCTTTTACATACCAAGTACTGAATTCGGTGTCATAAGCACAAATTCCTGATTCTGTTCTTGGTGATGACGGAAGCAAAGATCTCAAAAGATCATTCTTAGAAGTGCTAGACCCTCCCAGAAATACACAAGGGTGAAATTCTTTCTGTTAGTAAGATTGCCAGATCAGGTTTCTTTCTTAGTGTAATTTAGGGTTGCCATCTTCATTAGGTTATCAGGACTTTAATCTGCTCCCAAATATCAATGGGTTGAGTATTTAAAAATCACTGCTCATGCATGGGCAAGTTGTTCATAGTTTTCTGACTACTATCCTTGTTTTTATTTTCCAGTCTCCCCTCCCATTGTTACAGCCTGCCTGTAGTCCTATCGGCTTTAATCAGGTTAGAACACCTCATCATGCAAGTGGTAGCAGATAATTATAATTTCTCTGAGTATTAACTTACATCTCAAAGGTAATTCTGGATTTTAATTATGTGATAAAATTAAACATTGCCTCTTTTTCTCATCTTTAATCAAGAGGTGATTGTCATATTTATGCCATATATTTCAGTATTGGACAAGATTGAGGGGATCTGATTTACCATAAGAATTGTTTTAATAAAGAGAGTCAGTGTAATAATGAAACATGAAGTGCTGTACCTGGGTCCACTCATTTGTCTGGGGATCATAAGCTTCCACGGTATTAAGGTATGCTTGTCCATCATACCCCCCAACAGCATATAACTTATCGCCAAGTAAACAGACCCCCACTGCATCTCTGCTGATGCTCATGGATGCTACTGCAGTCCACATGTCTGTTTTGGGATCATATCTGAAAGAAAATTTCAGAACCAGAGCTGACATTATTCTTAAAATATTTATGTAAAAACAGTTTTGTTCTTCAAGTCTATCTATCTTCTGACTTATTATGTACTATGTAAATCAAATACATTTGAACATATTTTTGAGAAAAATACCAATATTTTTTTGACAACTTTAACTTACAGTATTATATTAACAGATCCACTTAACAGATGTATAACACTTAAAAGGAGCTAGGGTCAGTACTGAAAACTGCTTTCAGACCTTAGATTACCTACTGAAAATTTGGGGAAATCAATGCATTAAGCTCTATGTAAGAGGGCTCACAGCCTCAATCATTGTAGCTGTCCAGTTTTGGGCTTTCTTGCTCCTTTCATGAGGTATCTTAACTAGAATTGCCCACAGTTGTATAGCTAAGAGCAGATACATCATGCTAGGATGACTGATATTGCTCCTAAATCTGTTGTATCAATGAACAGCTTTCCACTGAGTGTAGTACAACAGCAAGCCCATAATTCATGGGGCAAAGTATATAAACACTTCCACATTCCTTTCCTGGATTACAACACGAAACGAGCATAGGTCTGAATTGTTTTCCCCCCAATATAAGTGAAATGCAGTTGTAACTTTCCCGCTTTCTCAAACAACACCAATACAGAAAGCATTTGTTATCGTTTGGATGTGGTTCATCCTCCCCAAAACTCATGTTGATATTTAATTGCCAATGTAATAGTGTTGGGAGGTGGGGCCTTTAAGAGGTGATTAGGTTGATAAGATGGATTAATGTTTTTCTCCTTGGTTAGTTCTTGTGTGAATGCATTAGTTCCTGTAAGAGCAGGTTGTTACAAAGTGAAGTTGCTTTGCATTTTTGAATGCCGACTTTCTCTTCCAATTCTCCAACATGTTATCACACAGCACAAGGCCCTCACCAGAACCTATCAGATGCAGCCTCCCAATCTTGAACTTCCCAGCCTGAAGAACTGTGGGCTAAAGAAACCTCTTTTCTTTATAAATTACTCAGTCCTGGGTATTCTGTTAGAGCAATGGGAAACAGACTAAGAGAGTGCTCATTATCATCAACAAACTTTGACTTTATTTTTTATCCTTCTTATGGTCACTTGGTCATGTACAACTTAAATAAATCAAACTAATCTTTAAAAAAAATCTGATCACGTCCAACAGACATACACACACACAAACACACACACACTCTCTGTCACACATGGGCGCTCATTAACTTCCTATTTTTCTTTATAATCCAAAACCCTTAACAATGCCTCAAGGAGTCTAGATGATCTGCACCCACCCTGCCCACTCTGCCTCCTTTCCTGCCATTCCCTCCCCATCACTCTTGGCTCTCCAGACACAATGGCTACCTTTCAGTTTCCTGTATGAACAGTATTTCTTTCTGCTTTGGAGTGTTCAGACAAACTCCTATTGATTGTACCGCCTAAATCCATTCAATTCTCGCTATTCCTTGTACTAGACTAAACGTAAGAAATGGGAACCTGACCTACCATCCAAATCTCCCACTGCTCTTCGGCTCTCTACCTGGCACCACACTTGAGTTTTGCCAGGCCAGTTGAGATGACTTAAGTTTGTAAGCCTTATTATTAGTTTTTTATTTTATATCAAAACACACAGAAATGTCCCTATCTTTTCGCTTTTTATTTAGCCTACAGCCCTTAAGTCATTCTGCATAAAATTCATCAAGCTCCTCTTCTTATTAGGTCCAATATCCCATATAAAGTAAAATTGCCTTGCGTGTAGTGCATGCTCAACACAAACTTATTTTTCTGGAAGTATCAGTTCCTGTGAGAGCAGGCTGTTATAAAGTGAAGCTGCTTTGCATTTTTGAATGCTGACTTTCCCTTCCAGTTCTCCAACATGTTCTCCAAATAGACATAAGTATCAGAGACTTATATATATTTTTTTCTTGTTCCTAGTTTTTCTTTGCAGAAAATTACCTCTCCACACAGTCTGAGAGTCTGGAAGTCATGTTGGATGCGGGAGCGTCGTGCCCCCCTATAGCATACAGCAGTCCGTTCCAGGTCGTCACTCCTACGCCACCTCTCCTTTTTGACATCTGTGCACACAGTGTCCACTTATTAGTATGAGGATCAAAACATTCTACTGATTTGAGACAAGAGCTTCCATCACGACCACCAACTGCATAAAGTCTGTAAAAAGAATAAATGAAATGATAAATAAGACATTGTGCCATTATGCTTAGAACAAAGTGGCTCTTCTTATGTTATTTCATTGAATTTAAGGTGCCATCAGTTATAAAACACACTGTCAATGTGTGTGTCATTAAAGAAGATATGCTATGTTTGAAATGACACATGTAAGTATCTTATATCACTCTGTATAAACATGAAAAGGAAAACAAACTGCACATGAAGGCACTGACAACTATTTCACCACTGCCATCTCTTTGACAAGTCGCCATTGATTGTAATATGCACTGAAATTCTGGAGGTGTTAAAATGTGTGTCTTAGAATAGACAAAATATGGTGTATAAATATACCATGGCTTATTTTTTTTTAATAGTTAAGACTTTATTATCAAGGAAGGAAACTAACCTTCTCTGAGCACCTACCATAGGTTAGGGACTTTATATGTACTAATTTAATCATCACAGTGATATAAGAAACTGTTTGAATCCCTGTTTCACAGGTAAAGAAACAAGGGTTCACGGAGAGTAAGAGACGTGCACAGGGTCACCCAGTAAGAAGCAGAATCGGGACACATAGTTTTATTAATGAACAAACAGTTGGACAGTCAACACAGTCATGTAGAATGTACTTGTAATAGTGAAATAGGAGAATAAAAATATAGCTTGAAACAATGGCATAAAAAGTAACATTTGTTACATATGAACAATGATCCTTCATTAATTTAAATTACTGCAGAAAAGGATATAGGTTATCACGTGAACGACCTAAATGTTACCTAGTAGATCAATTTAAATTCATTATCAATCAATACACTGCACTAATTTGAAATAGTCTTTTACTCTGAACCTAAAACGTTTGTAAAATATTTTAAATATTTGAACACAGTATTTCTTGTTAAGCAAAAATCTTCTTGTATTTACTATTCATTTGGGAAGCTCTCTATAAACATTTTTTCTACTAGTTTTTTAAAGGAGTAAATTTACTTTGTTGCTCATCAAAAACATTATACATTTTGAATTTACAAATGTTAGTTAATACTTAACTGTTTTTATCATTTCTCAAGAAATAATATTTTAATTATCCCAAATTTCTGCCAATTAAAACTCTAGGTATTTATATTTAGGTAAATCTACATATTTAACCACAGATTTCCTAATTAAGGTATGCCACTATGTCACTGAAACTGTTTCTTAAATAATAAGATGACCATATCTTAAACAGCAACATATGGTTGTAGCAATATCTTGTTCTAAATTTAAACTATATTAATAGTATGGAAATTGAAATTTATTTGAAACATCTATTAAAATTTATCTTAAAACTTCTTTTACCTGTTACAAACTTTTATCTATTAGTAACTTGTTTATGTTCTAGTTCTTAATATTATTCTTATCTTCAACTAATACTTGGTAGAAGAGTTATCTAAATATGGATCACAGAACATAAGAAGCCTTCAACAATTAGGGAGGATCAGTAATTTAAAATAATTCACACATGCATATGTGTGTGCACACCCACACATACCCACACACAATAGGCTTTAAAGCCTCTTACCCTCTTGAACAGTGGACTCGTGGGTCTTAATTGTAAAGAATGGTACAGTACAATGATTAAGAGCATGAACTCTGGAACCAGACAATTCTGGTTCTACCACTTACTAGTTGTGACTATGGACAAGTTATTTAACCTCCATCTAAATTTCATCATCTATAAACCCTGCCTCATAGGATTCTTGATAATTAAATTTAAAGTAGTTTGAACACTGCCTAGTACATGATAATCATGGTGTAAACATTTACAGAGAAAAATTAATTGTCTCTGTGTTCTTGTAGAAAATAGCACTTACAGGAGATCTTAAGTGTACAAACAATGTTTATATTCAGCTAATATTAAGGGTTAAAATCAATTGGTAACACTTCCTAAATAATCATTATCTCAAGCAATGATTTTCAAACTGTGTTCTAAGAATAGGATTCTATGAAGAAATTGAGGGAGTCTAAAAAATGGTTCATTTGAATTTCAAATTTTAAAAATTATTTTTAATTTTCAAAAATATCACCTTGCTCAATTAAATGTCATGTAAGACTCAGAACTCATCTCTCTTCCCCATGATAGTGTCTATTATAATAAAAAGAGAAATATTATGTCAACTTGTGAAAGTATTGTACTACCTATATATACTTAATAATAAGATTTAGGTCTTGCCTGACTTTTAAAATTATGATCAAGAATGCAAGTAGGCTGGGCATGGTGGCTCACACCTGTAATCCCAGCACATTGGGAGGCCAAGATGGGAAGAATTACTTGGGCCCAGGTATTTGAGACCAACCCGGGCAGCACAGTGAGATCCCATCTCTACAAAAAATCATTTTTTAAAAATTAGCCAGGCATGGTGGTGCATGCCTGTAGTCCCAGCTACTCAGGAGGCTGAGGTGTGAGAATAGCTTGAGCCTGGGAGGGAGGTTGAGGCTGCAGTGAGCTGTGATCGTGTCACTGCACTCCAGCCTGGGCAACAGAGCTAGACCCTGTCTCAAAAGTAAAAGGAATGCAAGTAGTTGGCAGATACTGTTTGAGATTCAACTTAGAAAAAAGATTTATTACTACTTTCAAACTGTTTGGGCAATTGAACTGAAGAATTTCCTGAAATTCCAATTAAATTACTCTAGTAGTTAAAATAACTGTTACCATTTCAGCCTCTTATCTGTGAATCAAGATTTTCCTCATATTAGACAATCAAGACAAGACACAGAAATAAGCTGAGTGCTCTTTAAAATTTATTCTTCTGTTCTTCAGCACTTACTCTTCTTCACAGATTTTTATAATAAGTAAATATAAGCTTGAACTTGTGATACATTTTAAGTAAGCTTAAAATAAACTTGAACTTCCATTTGCCTTTTAAATATTGAGGTATTTTTAAGATTTCATTTGAAAGAGAGATTTAACTGCTAAAAATATTTGCCAGCCAGTGCCTTAAAGGTAGCCTGAGCAACTGGAAGTCTAAATAAGGTTTCTTTCTGTCAAACACGGTAGGAAAATTTTAAGATTTGGGAGGCCAAGGTGGGCTGATCACTTGAGGTCAGGAGTTCGAGACCAGCCTGACTGACATGGTGAAACCCTGTCAAGAATACAAAAATTAGCTGGGCATGGTGGCGGGTACCTATAATCCCAGATACTTGGGAGGCTGAGGCAGGAGAATCACTGGAACCCAGGAGGAGCTGAGATTGCCCACTGCCCTCTAGCCTGGGAGATAGAGCGAGACTCTGTCTACTCCCCCACCAACCCCCACCAAAAAAAAAAAGAAAAGAAAAAGAAATTATAAATAAGTTAAAATAGGCCAGGCGCAGTGGCTCATGCCTGTAATCCCAGCACTTTGGGAGGCCAAGGTGGGTGGATCACCTGAGGTCAGGAGTTTGAGACCAGCCTGGTCAACATGGCAAAACCCTGTCTCTACCAAAAATACAAAAATTAGCTGGATGTGGTGGTGCACACCTGTAGTCCTAGCTACTTGGGAGGCTGAGGCAGGAGAATCGCTTGAACCTGGGAGGTAGAGGAGGCTGTAGTATGCTGAGATCGTGTCACTGTACTCCAGCCTGGGCGACAAAGTGAGACTCTCTCTCAAAATAAATAAATAAATAAGTTAAAATAACAAAAACCACAAAAATCAAAGCTCTTCATTTTACAGAATAAAAAAATTGAGGCACAGAGAAATGATTTGTTCTAAACCACAAAGCAATGATAAGATGCATCGTTAGTTTTTTTCAACCAACCGCATATTTTCTACTTATTCCAGATTCTTTAGATATACTATACTTTCAAAATCAAATTTCTTAATAGTTAGTAGATTAGAGAGCTTTAGCTTCTGATATGATTAATTAGGTTGTCTCTGAATTATATTCAATTAACTGTACTTTAGGTGGGTTAAGGATTGAAATATTTCTCATTAGAGGGCAAGAAAAGGTAAGAAAGTAAGATGTTTCTATGCCTAGAAAGCTAAGCTACTGTAGGTCCGGAAATCAGGTTTCAGAGAAGGCAATTATTGTTTTGTCCTCTATTAGAAATAAGGGCTAAGAAGTATGCTGCTGAACAAAAATTAATCCAATGAATCAATCCCAAAGGTTTAAACCAAAGGGTCAAAGCCGAGAAGATACTGTTTCATTTTCTTTTTCTCTGTATTTACTAGATTATTTAATGGCTGACTCTTATCAAAGAGTTTAGAAAGATATGTAGTGATGAATTTTGAAGTGATTTCTTTAGCTAAAATAAATGAGAGCAGGGGCATGGAGATCAAAAACATCTAAAAAGTGATTTCCATTTATCCATCTTATCACATGTAATAGTCCTTAAAAAAAAGTACCAAAAAGTAGAACATAACTGATGGGTCCTGAAGAAACAAGATCTTAGGTCCTAAAATAAAAAACATTTCACTAATTTTTCATTTTTCTTATAATAATCAATAACAAAATTCTATAAATAATTTTAATTCTATTTTAACCTTGATTCATTTATTTTTCTGGAAACAATGATAAAGCATTCTAAATGAGCAAAAGGTACCCCACAAATAACTTTTCTTTAACAACCACAGACGGCTTCATTTTATGGAAGAAGAAAGGACTGAAAAAAGACACACATTTACTTTCCGAGTAAGAGAGCTATTAGTGATGGCTCTACCTATATTTATTTATTCAGAGCAGACAAGAAGCAAGAGAGCACCTCTTTATAAATCCATGCTAGTTTTCACCAGTTTTCCAAGATAAGAAAGAGGTGAAAGTCAAGATAAGAAAGAGGTGAAAGTCAGGATAAATCAGTAGAAAAGATGGAAGGAATTTTTAGAGAAACACTGAGAGAGACTACACTACTTTTAAAAGACCATACATGCTTTTAAACATAATACAGGTAATATACTTTTAAAGTATATTAAATAAAATATTTTAATATAGATATACCAGATTTTTACAGTACAACTTATTAATATTGAATGTTAATATAAAATGTCTTCACTCAAAATAACTAGAAATGTACAGTATCTGCATATTAAAATGAAAGCCTAGCTTAACAATCAACTGTTTATATTTACAACTATTATAGAAGACACTGTCTTAAAAGTCTCTTCAAATCACTGTATTTATGTATATCTTTAAATTAGAAATGATATAGCTTAATAAATTTGGTGTACTGCATTTTAAATAGAACTTTAGGTACTTCCTTACTTTCCACTTAGTACTGCCACACCTACTGTACTCCTGGGGGTAGACATAGTGGCAACAAAATTCCACTGGCGAGCCTGAGGGTCCCATCTTTCCACCGTGTTCAGATAGCTCCAGCCATCATGTCCTCCTACAGCATACATGGGACCTTCTAGTACAGCCACACCTATGAGGAGACAGGAAACAACGACTTCAGATTGGCCGCTGTCTTAAAAATCACATTTTAATTGAAGTATAAGTACAATAAGCCTTAAACATACAAATGGAACTGAGTAAACATTTATAATGTAGACATGTGTCCTCAGTGTTCTTAGTAGGTCGGTGGGTGGGTGGGTGGGGAGTTGAAATAGCATGGGAGTTCTGGTCTTAAACGTTCTAGAGACTGGCTGGGCGTGGTGACTCATGCCTGTAATCTCAGTGGTTTGGGAGTCCAAGGTGGGAGGATCACTTGAGGTCGGGAAGTTCGAGACAGGCCTGGCCAATATGGCGAAATCCCTTTTCTACTAAAAATACAAATATTAGCTGGGCGTGGTGGCAGGTGCCTGTAATCCCAGCTACTTGGGAGGCTGAGGCAGGAGGATTGATTGAGCCCTGGGGGCGGAGGTTGCAGTAAGCCAAGATCACGCCACTGCACTCCAGCCTGGGCAACAGAGTGAGACTCTGTCTCAAAAAAAAAAGTTCTAAAGGGTGGGCGAGGTGGCTCAAGCCTGTAATCCCAGAGCTCTGAGAGGCCAAGGTGGAAGGATCTCTGTGAGATTAGCCTGGGCAACACAGGAAGGCTGCCATCTCTATGAAATTTTTTTGTTAAAATTAGCCAGGCATGGTGGCATTACCTATAGTCCCAGCTAAGGTGAAAGATCCCCTGAACTCAGGAGTTTCAGGATGCACTGAGCTATGATCACACCTCCAGCCTGGATGAGAGTGAGACCCTGTCTCTAAAAAAAATTAAAAATTTTACAGGCAATATTTTTAGGTACAACAGTGTAAAATTATTTTAAAATTGCACCAGATGCATACACTGCTACTATTTAAAACATTTTTCAATAATTTGGATTTAAGATATATTTGGAAAAGTATTTTTATACCTTCTCCCCTATTAATTCAAATTCATGAGATTTTACTATAGTTAGATTCGATACCATAATCTATTGGTATGATTCATCAGCAGGGAGCTGAGCTAGATTCATTTGTTAATTTATTCAACAAATATCTTCTGCATGTCTACTAAGTACCAGGCATTCAACAGAATATAACAGGTAAGGGCTGTGCCCTCATAAATCTTATAGTCAGGAAACAGACATAAAATATATTTTAGTTAATAACCATTGCTAATTTAAAAAGTGGTGCAGAGTAAAAGGATAGAGAGGGTCAGGGGAGACCTTTCTGGTAAGGTAACATTTAAGCAGGAATGTGAATGAAGTTGGGAAACCAGATTGGGAGATAGCTAGGGGAAGAGAAGGTGAGGTAGAGGAAATGGCAGTGCAAAGGTCCTGAGGTATGCTCACTGTGTCTGAGGGACAACAAGGTGGCCAGTCTGGCTAGGCAGGGTGAGTGAGGGGGAAAATATAAGAGATGAGGGAGAGTGTAGAGCCAGAGCATGCAGGGCAGAGACTGCAGATAAGGACTCTGATCTTATCTCTTGTAAGGACTTTGGATTTTATTCTGAATGAGATGAACGGTCTCCGTGATGGCTTTGAGATGGCTTTAAGGTAGGGGGATTTGAGAAGAGGTGTGACATGATCATGGCCAGGTGAGATAAAATGTCTCACTTGGGGGCCAAAAGAACCCCTGTATTACAGATATATTTTAATTTGTGAAATCACAGCCAGATAAGAAAAATACTCATCATTCATGCATGACCCAAATCAACGTATTATTCCACTCATTTATTACATATTGTACCCCACCAGTACTAGCTTTTGGAGATTTTATATGTGTGTGTGTGTACACATATATACACACATATATGTGTATATAAATATGCATACTTGTTATTTATATGCTTATACGTGCATATACACATGTTATATGTGTATATATTTATGTATAAACAAAAATATATCAAAATATACATGTATAATATATACACATACTGTATATACTTGTTTATGATATATGTATATCTCTCTAATTTTACATATATACATGTATATGTAATGCGTAATATGTCAAAGGGGGCAGAAAACTTAAGGGGTTCACCTAATTCAACCCATTAAAAAATGGCTTTGAAAAGAAATTTTAAGCCTGGTGTGGTAGCTCACAAGTGTAATTCTAGCACTTTCAGAGGCTGAGGCAGGCAGACTGCTTGAGCCCAGGAGTTCCAGACCAGCCTGGGCAACATGGTGAAACCCTGTCTCCACCAAAAATACAAAAATTAGCCAGGTGTGATGGTGCATGCCTGTAGTTCCAGCTACTAGACACGCTGAGGTGGGAGGACTGCTTAAGCCCAGGAGGAAGAGGTTGCAGTGAGCCAAAAATGTACCACTGCATTCCAGCCTAGGTTACTGAGCAAGAATCTGTCTCAAAAAAAAAAAAAAAAAAAAAATTAGCAGAACTCCTTTTTTGAATGAAATGTCCATAAAATTCCCACATATGAAGAGATAAAAGGAATGTTTCTTAAATAAAAGATTATTTTAGGCCAGGTGTGGTGGCTCACGCCTGTAATCCCAGCACTTTGGGAGGCTGAGGTGGGTGGATTAAGAGGTCAAGAGATTGAGACGATCCTGGCCAACATGGTGAAACCCGTCTCTACTGGTGGAAACACAAAAATGAGCTGGGCATGGTGGCAAGCGCCTGTAGTCCCAACTACTAGGGAGGCTGAGGCAGGGGAATCACTTGAACCCGGGAGGCGGAAGTTGCAGTGAGCCGAAATTGCGCCACTGCACTTCAGCCTGGCAACAGAACGAGTCTCTGTCTCAAAAAAAAAAAAAGTTCATTTTCTAAGTTCAAATTTGTAACAGTTATTTAATTACAAGGTAATTTAGTAAGAACATTGCTGTGTTGAATGACACAAAACTTTTAAATTAGGGCTTAAAGAAGACAGTTTTGAGCCATGTGATCATTTTCCTTTCAACTTGCTGCAGTTCAGTAAAGTCTTCTGTATGGCACCTAGAACCACTGACAGTATTCAATGCACAGTGTCATTTGCACAGAATAACTGGACTATGAGCAATCACATTCTATGTACTATATCCATAAGGATTTAGCCTGTGTTAGAATTACATTTTCTTCCCCATTGTAGGGGAGGGGAAGCACGCAGTTGACTCACTCTACCCTGGATTTTATGGTCAACCCAAATTTCTAAGTCTCATTCATGCTCAACTCACATTTTCCCAGTCTGTGCCTATATAATAGTTGATTTTATGGACTCAAGAGTCATGTTTTACAAGTTTACTTTGTTAAATTTCATATAGTTAATTTTAAGCTCCTTCTCTCTGTCTTTGCCTTAACCCTCTGGTTTTATTTCCTTATCAAACTTCAAACTTAAGATGACCTTGCATTGAGAACTAATTACAACTAGTGGAAATCTATGTCTCTTTGACCTTTTACTGTACCCACCACCATACCCATTTCAATCTTCATCCCTAGAGAGTTTTCATTACTGTCTACTGTTATTTAGCGGAAGCCTCTACTCTGGTGGTCAGTATTAATAAACTGAGTATTGTATAAACCATACTATCTAAACTCAACCATACCTTCACTGGTATTGATCTTTTTTTGTTTTTTTTTTTTTGTTTTTTTGAGATAGATCTGTTGCCCAGGCTGGAGTGCAGTGGCAAGATCACAGCTCACTGAAGCCTTGACCTCCCAGGCTTAAATGATTCTCCCTCCTCAGCCTCCTGAGTAGCTGGGACTACAGGCCCAAGCCACCTAATTTTTTAATTAAAAATTTTTTTTCCCAGCTAATTTTTAAATTTTTTGTAGAGACTGTTTTTTCCTAAGTTGCCCAGGATGGTCTTGAACTCCTAGGGCTCAAGCAATCCTCCTGCTTTGGCCTCCCAAATTGCCGGGATTACAGGCGTGAGCCACTGCATCCGGCCTCATCTTTTATGATGACCTGTCAAGTTCTTTATTGCAGCATGTGAGGAATGCTTGGTGACTGCTGCTGATGCAGTGGCTGCCACACCAGTCTTCTGCCTGGTACAGAATGTAAACGTGCTGTGGGAGCTACGTGATATTTTGAGTGAATCTGCACGGTTATACTTACCAAGGCCATGTCTGTGTGTGGACATAGGTGGCATCACACTCCAAGTTTTTGTTTTGGGGTTGTAGCACTCTACAGTATTCAAAGTCTTCAGTCCATCTCTTCCTCCAACCACATACAGTTTGTCATCTAGCACTGCAACACCGAACTGTAGCCTCCTCCCATTCATATTTGCTACTGGAGTCCACATATTTGTACGGAGATCATATTTTTCAATGCTTGTTGCTCCTTCATAGTAATATACAGAAGTTATATAAATAAAAATTATACCATAATTGGTAATTTTGTGAAATTACAGATACAAAAATATAATCGTATTAGCATTGAGAATAATAATTTTATTATATTTCATGAAGGTCCTGCATGATCTAGCCTCTGCCTAACTCTGTGTCCTCGACTCTTACTATTCTCCAGGGCACACACAGGCCCCAGTAAGAAAAGGTCAAATGGACAAGGATTATCTGTCAAAGGAGGGTGAGAAACAAACACCCAGAAGTGGGGGGAAAAAAAGCAGAGGCTTAGTTAAGTGTCATGGAAGCCAAAGGAAGAAAGTTTATAGCAGTAGGTCTGCTAACAGTATCCCACTGAAAGGATCAAATAAGATGAAGACTAAGAAGTATTATTGGATTTAGCTACATGGAGGTCATTGATGACTTTAGTGGGAGGTTCCTTATTGAGTGGTTGAGATGTGACTGGGAGGTGAGGAAACACAGACAGTGAGCATAGAAGATTCTTCTGAGAAGTCTGGCTATCAAAGTAAGGAGAGGTAGAAATTACTAGAAGAGTTGAGGAAAGTTTTGTTTTGTTTTGCTTTTAAAATTTGAAAACTCAAGAGTTTGCTTAAATGTGAATGAAAAGGATCTGGTTGAGAGGAAAGCAGCTAAAAATACAGGAGATGAAAGAGATCAGAATGAACATAATGAACCATGTTCATTATAGTTCGTGGGGAGGCAGGAAAGCACAGCACCCAGGGCACAGGCAGAAGAGCTGGCTTTCACAGGAGGAGGGGAACATATTCTACTGCAATAAGCAAGGATAGGGTAAGTACAGATCAGGTACTTTGGAAACTATGAGGGTAAGGAATTCAGGAAGTTGCTGCCTGAAGGCATCTATGTTTTCCTTTCTTTTTTTTTAAGAATTGGAAGATTCCAGGACTCCTTTGTTCTCTTTATGAGTTAAGATGAGTGGATGTTTAAAAAAAAAAAAAAAAACCCTCTAAAATAAACCTAACCCCCAATTGTGAAGAGTTCAACTAGAACCCTCCTCTCTCTTCTAAGCTTCTAACACATCAAGTAAGCAGTGCTAACCTTACAGAATTATAATCATGACTAACACTTATTCTAAAGTATTTGTTATAATTTGGTCATCAGAGCACTAGTATTATTGATAATTTCCTAAAATTTAGAAATAGTTTTGTTATACATATGGATTTTCTCATGTTAAAGTTTTGATTTACCCTACAGAATTCTAAATTATTTGGGATAGACAGCAAGTCTTTTCTACCTCTGCATGCATGCATATATATATATATATATATATATTTTTTTTGAGACAGAGTATCACTATCACCCAGGCTGGAGTGCAATGGCATGATCTTGGCTCACCACAACCTCCACCTCCAAGGTTCAAGTAATTCTTGTACCTCAGCCTCCCAAACTGGGATTAGAGATATGTACCAATCACTCCCAACTAATATTTTGTATTTTTAGTAGAGACAGGGTTTCACTATATTGGCCAGGCTGGTCTCAAACTCCTGGCCTCAAGTGATCCTCCCACCTTGGCCTCCCAAAGTGCTGGGATTATAGGCATGATCCACTTTGCCCGGCCTTCACCTCTGTATTTTTCACAGCACCAAATAAGAGTCCCTTATACATAGTATAGCTATTCAAAAATATGTTTGAGTACTTTTTCTTTATAGTTTCTAGCTATAGTGAGGTTTTTTACTCATATGCTTACATTATAATAGTAACAGACATAGTAATAGTATATTTAATTACTCTAAATTTGATCTTAAAATATCATTCCTGCCATCAAATAAATCAAATCAAATTAGAAAATTCCCTCCAACAAATAAAAAGCTAATCATCTCTCTTCACAGATATATTTAGAGAATACTTTTCTTTTGAATTTTAAGTTACTTCTTTTACATCTAGTTTACTAAGCAGTATCATATTCATATGAATTGGTAACTAAAAGTTATTTTGCTAATTTGAAACATAAAAATATTAAAACATAGTCTCAGGTATATATATTTAATATATATTAT